CGTCACTGGTTTGGCACAGTGCTGAATTTGTATAAGTCGTATTCCGATTGGCGAATAAATCATGTGATATTTAACAGGTCATCAGAAGTCATAACAATAACACTAAACAATATGACTAAATGCTAATCTATTAAGGTAGTTACATGATAAGAATAAAAAGCATTGAGTTGAATAAGTACAATGAGGAAGAATCTAACTTTAATCTTCTTAAGTGGTAAAATTAGAGATTAGCATTTATCATGGTAGATTATATATAGGTACAACCTGTTTCTTTACTTGAAGGATGTTTATTTTTTCTTTTGCCTACATACATATATGTATATTTACACCTGCTAACCCTCATGGAGAAGAATAGGACGCCCACCAGCATTCTCCAGCTAACTACTCTGGACAATCCATTCCAGTTGTTTCCAGTCACTATTCATTCTTTTCATGTCTGCTTCCCATTCCCGACGCAATGTATTACTTGGTCTTCCTCTTTTCCTTATCAGTTAAGGATTCCAAGTTGGGGCTTGTCTCGTGACGAAGTCTGATGATTTCCTTAATGTGTGTCCATCCACTTCCAACGTCTTTTCTTAATTTCCCCCTCAGCCGGAAGCTGGTTTGTTCTCTCCTGCAGTATACTTTTTCAATTATTTCTGTACACTATGAATTGTTAATAAATTAGAACATAGTATGAAATTTAATCAAGACTCTACTAAATAGTAAGTTGCTGTTCACAACAAAGTACGTGGGTCAATCCGTTTTATTGATTTTTATCACAAAACACAGAGGTCAATCATTCTCTTTATTAATCAATACTTCTATTTAAATAGTGAGTATTGATCATTTGTATTACTAGCGAATACTGATATCCCACCCCTGCTTCTCTTTTACTTAGTCCATTCGGCCTTTATTTATTTTCATTTTCTAGAAGCAACTTCAAATATTAACCTAATTTTTATTTCTTTGTTTGAATTAAGGACACATGTGGCATTGGTAACAATGATAGTTTAGTCCCAACTGGTTAGATGAATGATTTTCAGTTGGAGTAATTTGATTATTTTGGATTTTCTATTGAATTTGATTAATATTGAACAAAGGGACTTAATAAAATTTGGTAACGAATGAATATTTAAATATATTTGATATTTGTACTGTCTTATTTTGAAGTTATGATATCAAATCTAACTGATATTCGATGCAAGGATAATTTCTGTTTTAGAATATAAATTAAAATTAACTGTTACAATTTTTTAAAAAAGCGATCCCTCGTTAAGTTTACAGTTCTCAGTTTCCTCCTCAAAGGAATTAAATGATGAATTGTACATTACTGGATAATTTCGAAGTTCTTTAAACTTGCGTCCTACTGATTTCGGTAATGCTAGAATTTTGTTGATTATGTCTTTCAATATGGAAACTCGGATAAATTTCCACTCATTACAATTCAGTGGATTTTTTTACTGTGGACTTCTGTAAGACATCCGTATGATGCTCCGTTTTACCCATGTTCTATATCGCTTGTTACTCATCCATAACATATATATGTAACTAAAGGAATTCACTCCAACAAAAAAAGAAACCTGTTTCGTCATTTAAAAAAAGTATATTTCAGCAAATAAAGCTTCTTTTTCAAAAATTATATTTATTAAGATTCTGTAATAATATATTCGTAGTTATTTAATATAGTTAGGCCATTTTAAGATAGAGAGGCGTTGACGTGTTGACGCGCGTCCTGGATTTCAATGCTAGCCGCTATTCATCTATGCCTAAACTGTTGAAGGAATGCTTAAGAAATTAAATTATCAAAAGTAGTCCCATAATGGTCAAACAATTAGTGAAGCATATTTAGGTAAAAGTTGTTCACTTGATGGATATAAACAAGGTTAAAAATAAACAACAGACGAACGCTAATAAAGACTTATCATAAAGTATGAAAAATTAAATGCAGATTAAGACCATGATAAAATGAAGAGTTAGATATGTCACATCTGAACATAGACTTGAATTGGTGAATTACTAAAAATTCAACTGTGCACGAATTTGTGGTCTGTGATCCCTTTGAACTAGTTCCTTTTAGTTTGCTGAGGATTTTGTTTGAGATCCTCAACCTTATGTGACCTATACAATTTGCTTCATTCTATTTTTCAGACTCATATCCATAGCGCTTTGTATTACAGTAATATGTAGCTTGCGTAATTCAATGCTAATGTCTACAACTATGGTATTGTCAGAGTTAACCTTAGGAAATTGTATGAGTTTCGTCAGGGTTTATTATACCTCATATTGGTAGTTGTTGTTAAGTCTAGTACACAGAAAGTATACGATACTGATTTTTTAACGAATCACTAAACTCCCACTATCCTTGATTCATTGACTGAGAAAGTAAATTAAAGGCAGAAATAAGGAAGAACCTTTATTGCCAAGGTTAGATAATCCACAGAAACTATAGAGTATTTATTTGGCCCCCATTATTTTTGCGTAATATCCTGGTACTATAGCAGGAAAACTATAAATCTGTTGACACAAGCACGAACGCGATGACTATAGATGGTGATTTATTTAACACCAAAAATGAATCATAATAGCATTTGAATACGTTAATTTTTAAATGATTTGCATCGATTAACAGTCAAATTTATGTACATTAAACTAGGAAGTAGCTGGCATTGATCAGTCAATAATTTACTAAATAAGTTTAGATATACAATATCTTAAAATGTGACCAAATATCAAAGACGATTGGGAAAAGATTCAATATTATGGGTCACTGACACTCTAGTCAATAAAACATTTGCTCACTATATCGGATTCAAGTAACCTTGAGATTCTATAAACCTGGAAAAATACTAAATTTATCAATAAATTCAATACTTGGCCAATTAGATCAGAGGAAGGTATAATGGGTTGAATTCTAGATCTTCGTTAGAACATTCCAAAAATATTAACTGCTTAAAGTCAGCTTAATGCGATTTACCAGCTTCTAAAAAATTTCATTATGGGGGGATTTGTGGAAACTGTAGAATTTAGATAGTTTAAATCACCAATTAATCTTAGCTAGACTACCACTGGGAACCTGGAAGCAATGGACAGATGTTTCATCCTAATATGGGAATATCATGAAAATGATCCTTCCAGGTTTTTAATGGTGATCCAGGTAATATCAGTTCGTGATTCTAGAAAATTGTTGAGTCGTTTCAAGCACCTAGCAGTTATTAATAAAAAAGTATGTCTAAATAGAGGATGTTTAGACAATGATCACTTATCATCCAAACTCTACTAAATGCAATAGGACAGTAAGCCATTACAGTAATTTACCATCAAATTAAGGTGAACAAAAAATGTAGTGAAATATTTTACTGCTCTGTGTAGTAGTGCTTTAAAAATGTTAATATTTAAACAAAACCAGTAGATACAATGCACGACGGTGTCAGGCTAATTTGGATCTGTTATACAATAACAATAGTAATCGTTAAAATATAAAATTTAATTTATATAGTAAATTAATGTGTTCAAACAAAATAATGTGATCACATTTTGCTACTACTCTCTCATATCATTCTTAGTCCATGAAAAAAAGAACTAAAATAATTAACTTTAAATGAATTTCAAATGAGATCCTCTTTTATTTATTAATTTGATAACTATGATCAACAGTTTTTGGTAGCTACTAGTACTTGAATCTATTCGAAGAAGAGTTTTGTACTACTAAATACATCACATTTGAATAAGTTATTACTTATGTTTTCAATGACGAATGAACGAATCACCTAAATGTTATCGCTGAAATTGATAAATTATTCAGTCATTAATATATAACTGAATAGTTTAATTGATACGGTTCTAAACTTGTACTAGTCTTTTTTCCAATTGAATTCCGGTTAGAAGGTCAATATTTACTAAGATAAAGATATAGCTCTATATGACTCCAAAGAATGATACCATATTGACTTACAGACTTTGTACCACAATGTAGTTAGTCGCAACTAAGTATTCTGTCTTGTTCTAATATACTATACTTGTATTAATTGAATTCGGGTATTTATCTACTCAGAAGAAGCGACGTAATGTAAGTCTTGAAATGTGCGGAATTCCAAGTTCTACACCTTGAGATATCAGAAATGTATCATTATTTTGTTACTAACATTCTACCCACTCCCCGCTTTATTTGAAATTATCAATTTACACATGAACAGACATGAACACCGTCGGTTGCCGACTCAGTGGTCTATAGGTCCAAGTCCCGCGTGCGAGATTGTGGGTGTACACTGCTGAGATGTTACACACTGGGATTAAACGGTTGTTTAGTGCTTCCAGGTTTTCAATGGTTATCTAGCATTGATCGGTTCATGATCACAATAAAAACTCAAAAACCTCCACAAACTTATACTGATATTAAGTGTAGAGCCATTTAACAAAGTGAATAAATCACGTTTCATCAACAGAAATCAGTTTACCATGATGACTATGAAAGATGAGTCAGCAATAAGTAACCGTTAATTACAATATCCTGTCATCAGGAATTGGAAATGTATTCCATCAAACTACGGAAGTGAATAAGACCACCATTAATGAAACGTTATTATTCCTAAAAACATATTTATTTACAGTTCAAAGTTAATCCAAGTCAAGCAAATACATGTTGCTCACTTTGAAGTCTTGAAAGACAACGGAAAGATGGGTACATCGGCTAGTCATTTAGTGGAAGGCATTACTACAACAACAATTTAAGCAAACACCGAATTTAATAGAATTAATCTTATACTGTTTTAACTATGGCTTCAGTGAAATATTGTAAGCATGGAAAACTGTTTTTTTACGTGAAACATTAGAACACCAACGTTTTATGTTAGCAGGATGAAATCAAAAGTGAAAACGATCAAATAATGCCTAGTTTTCATTGGTTCTGGTAGTTGATATCGCTTTGTGATAAAAGTGACATGTTGAATTGACATTCAAACCTAGGGACTGTTGGATGCTTCAACACTATTGGCTGTGAGGACCTGTCTGGATATCAATATGTTAACTAATATGATATCGCAGTTTAATTGGTTGGAATCTTTGCTTTTGTTTCGTTATATAATAAACGGTTGTTTAACGTTTATAGGTTGTGGAATTATGGCTGACGCTGGTGAGTCATCTCGTGTGATTTTGATCCCGATTGATGGCAGTGATCATTGTGATCGAGCATTTCGTTGGTACTTGGAAAATATGAAACGTGACACTGACTGCATAACATTTGTACACGTAATAGAGCCAGTTTATAACACTCCAGCCATTGGAATGACAATGGAATCTCCTCCAATACCTGACATGACACGAGTTATGGAAGAAAGCATTGAACAAGGTAAAAAGCTTGGTCAGAAGTATATGCACGAAGCTAAAAGTCACAAGCTCAATGCTAAGGCGTTCTTACATGTTGATACCAAACCTGGGAGCTCTCTAGTAAAAGCAATTTCAGACCATAAGGCAAACGTTATTCTGATGGGCAATCGTGGTCTTGGAGCTATTCGTCGTACATTCTTGGGGAGTGTTAGCGATTATGTTCTTCATCACGCTCATATTCCTGTAGTTATCGTCCCACCTCAAGAGAAGCAGTAACTTTTTCTTCAGTTATAATATCCATTCTCCATTTAAGAGTTAGAAATTATTACTTTGTGTAAGTTACTGTTAAATCATTTTGATACGAAATCTATCTTATTTAATCATCTAATATTTGTTTCTGTCCTGTTCTCAGAATATAATCATATTTATGTATTTCTAGTCTCTTGATATTTAAGGGATATTTCTTAGTGCGTAAAGTTACTTTCGACAATGTTTGCTTTACAGGTTAGGATGACTTGACCAGCATATTAGTGGTTTTTAATAGGGATTGATGTATGCTGTGACGTCGCAATTACAAGCCATATAGCCATCTTCTGTGGTTTTAAGTAGTTATTACACTGAGAATTTCTGCTAACAGGAGTTGTTCAAGAAATAACTAAAGATCTCGTAATAAGAATCATGCTAATCTCCTTATCATTAGTGATGCAGGTTCTGTCTCGACAACAGCACTTAGATTCTCCAACAAATATAGTATTCTATTTGTCCACTATAATATTGATAGATTCATTTCCCTACTATTAGGCTTCTACAGCTACAATTAATCTGTATGTTATTTACTCTCTTCTGTCATGGTCTACAAATACATCCGAACGTTCCTGTCACTTATTTATCAGGGATTGACTGAGCTAAGCATTTATCACATCGAAATGCAATTATGTAGTGATTGATCTCTGAAATTATATTTAGTAATCGAAACGAGACTAAGTCGTCGGTGGATGATATGTTGGGTGTTACGAATTATCTGTTGTTACGCAAGTATAGCGTAGTCTTCGCATACAGTTAGGCAATCAAATTTGGTGGGTACGCGTGAGTTGTAAACCCTGATAAGCGGTAAGTATTTAGTGTATACATTCACAGCCATACTTGTAAAACCCTGGATTATTTGGATTTTATTTTCACAAGTCTCAGACGTTGGAATACAAGACTTTCCTAGAAACTGTATATGTCAAACCGATTGTCCTGTGATTGTAAACGTAGGACCGTTTCCGTTTCATATAGATTGGGACTAATAATGGTGGGGTCTAACTTACATTCTGCCCCTAAAATTCGGTATCACACATTTAAAGCAATCATTCTGAAAGTCGTTGGCTTTCACATGTTAATCATTTTCTTGACTTCACTAAGAGTTGACGGGGGTAAGTTTAATGTGACTCGCTAAATCTAATCATGAACAGTGGATAAACGGAGAGCGGATGAAACTACAATCTCTCCAGAATTTCTATCGGGAAAAGTGTTACTTACCTGTTTCTTCTCAATAATCTCACCAACTAATTATTTAATCCCGATTTGGTTGTTATACACTAAATACATAGCAGTACCTTCTCTGACGTATTAGAGTCAGTCAGTCAGCTACAACGTAGGACCAGGCACATATATGCATCGGTCCAAGTTGCCATACCGCAATAGCACAGCAAGATGAACGCTAGATTCATAGGATTAGTTACTTCAATGGGGGTGATATATAGAAGAAAGATTGCATATAAAAGTATAGTAGAGGAAGAAAAATATGAAGTGATTTTAATCTCTTAGTTTAAGGGAAGACAGAGTGTATGCACCTACGCCATTGTGATCGATTCTGAGCCATGTCACCAAGAGTCTCCAACCATTGGTTACGATAGTCACGCGGACCCCAACCAAGTAGTCTGCATCTACCAACATGGCTCGGACTAGAAGTTAGTGACTTCAAGCACTGATGCCACGTTTTGGTTTGACCGCCCCTAACTTTCTTCCAACCATTTCCGATACCGGACAGCATTGCACGTCGTGGTAATCGGTGTTCAGGCATACGTAATACGTGGCCCAACCATCTTCGTCGATGAAGATTAACAACCTCATCAACTGATTTACCAACATTCCTTAATACCCTGAGTCTAACCTCACTATTACTTACCCGGTGATCCCAGCAGACGCCAGCAATATTTCTTAGGCATCTGTGGTCAAATACTAATAGTTTACGAGTGTCTTCTACTCTTAATTGCCACGTTTCGCTGCCGTAAATTAAAACAGAACGGACTGCCGCGCAGTATACTCGTCCTTTTATTGATAGACGGATACCTCGCCTTCGCCAAAGGTGACGTAAGTTGGCAAAACACAAACGAGCTTTTCGAATCCGTGCTCAGATTTCGTCAGACACCAACCCATTAGGGCTGATCAGACTTCCAAGATAAGTGAAGTTCTCAACGCGTTCGACTACTTCACTCCCTATCCTTAGTTCAGGTGTTGACGCAGACCAGCCCTGAAGCAACAACTTGCATTTAGAGGGAGAGAATCGCATTCCAAACATTGCTTAGTGTTACCAAAAGACTGCATTTTATAAGCGTCTTCACCAAACAGGACTATATCATCTGCGTATTCTAAGTCGATAAGTGAACCTCCTGGAAGGATATCAATACCCGAGAATTCAGTTGACGAGAGTGTTATTTCCATCAATAGGTCTATGATGAAGTTGAACAGAATGGAGAAAGTGGACAGCCTTGACGGACACCACTTGAGGTTGCAAAAGCAGATGACAGTTCGCCATAAGCTCTGACTTGACTAGTAGTGTTCGAGTAAAGAGCCTTCACAAGGTTTATGTACTTCTGGGGTACGCCTTTCAATGACAGACACTGCCACAGAACATCTTGGTCAACTGAGTCAACTGCTGCTTTCAAGTCAAGAAAGACCACCATGGTCGGACGACGATAAGTATTTCTGTGTTCTAGAACCTGACGAATGATGAATATGTGGTCGATGCAGCCACAACCAAGTCTGAAGCCAGCTTGATTCTCTCGTGTTTGCAGTTCACGAGTCTTAGTTAGGCGTCCGATAGTTATCGAGGCTAGTATTTTAGATACTATATTAGTTAAACTAATCCCTCTGTGGTTGTCACATTATGATTTTGATCCTTTCTTATATATTGGGACGATAAGTGATTGCGATCAGTCAGATGGAATAACATCTAACTCCCAGATCTTAGCTAAAATATTAGTCAACCTAACCGCTAAAATTGGACCACCATCATTAAAGTCTTCTGGAGCCAATCCATCTGGACCAGCTGCCCTTCCTCGTTTCAGATTGACTATAGCCTTTTGAACTTCTGCTAGAGTTGGGGGACCTACTTCAATGTTTCATTCACACTGTCTGGGAATGGAGGGTAGTTGTAGAGTCGCTGAAGGTCAGCTGAACTGTTCCCTAAAGTGTTCCGCCCATCGTTCTAAACGTCTGCCTTCTCGTGGCGGGGGTGTTGTTTACGAAAATGAGAGGACGAAAAGCGAATGTCCGGCGCTTTAACCGGATTCCAAACCAATGGTGCACATGGGCTCCAGTATCCTGCGGGAACAAATGGCGAATGAACCAATTGTTGGTCACCGGCTTCCATGGGACTGCATCTCCTTACGATGCTCCACTGCCTTGTGGATCAGACCTTTGGGTCGAAGGCTCGGGGTGTGGCCCCCTAAGAAAACCACCTGCTTCGGTTTGGGCACCCGGGCAGTATCACAGCCCTCACACATATCGGATGAGATTTGTGTGGCGCATATGTATTTGGTGCCTCTTTGTACCATTATCTATGTGTTGAAATAAATAAATCTGGACTGGGAGCATATGAGAGTGTCGTCTTTTTCCAAGATGTTCTCACTTACACTTGACTTATTAATTTCAGTTTCTTTTATTAGTCTGTAGAGCTGTCTTGTGTTTCCTATAGCCGCCACCTTTTCTATCTCTTTTGCTTTCGTTACCCACCACTGCTCACAGTCGTTCCTTAAACTTTTGCTTGACCTAGATCTGATTTGTTTACGCTCTTTATCATGTTGAGGACCTGATGAGATGAGTTTACGAGAATCCATCAGTGCAATATATCTAAGACTAGGACTTTGCAAACAAACGATTCTCAGGATTTATATGAACCCAATATTTATTTGTGCACCAGGATCCGGTCACAAAAGTCATACCTAAGTTTCTTTCTGCTTGGTTTTAACTGTTTTGGCGTTAAAATAGTGGGTGATAAAGTCATTCGTTTTACTTTCTTGTCCTTCGATGTCATCTGGAAAGTTTAGATGCTACTGTTTCAAGTGAACCTAATAGATACATATTTTCAACCTTCTTTACAGAAGGCAGCTACATTCAAATAATTTATAGTTTGTTGTGATTTTTTGTCACCCAATTTCCAAAGCTATTTATTCGTCTACTATTTTAGGTATAATATCTAGAAGATTAAAGTTGAAAGTTACTTTGTCCATAGTTGTGAGTTGTTCTGACAGAGGAAAAATGTAATAGTGTCACCTAGTTGTATTCCGTGTATAGAAGCAAACTGTTAATCGCTATCGATAAAAGTGAATCAACCAATCATATAGTTAAGGGCCCACTACTTAAGACTCATTTAATCCCAAACTGGCTATTACTCTGACCCATTTTATTGATTCATCTTGTATCTCTTCTACTGTTTGGTATGCGTGTGCTTACTGTTCTCTTTGTACTTGACTACTATTTTGCATTTTTATACTAATTGTATTGATTTACACTTTAGAAACAGATTATGACAATTGGTTATATACATAGTGATCTGTTCTGACTAGTCCTGATTAGACTGTGTGCGACGGTATATTTGCTTATTCACGAAATTCATTTTTAAGCAATTACTTACTAAACTGAGGCTCTTAATTAACAGTATGTTGCAGTCCGCTATATCACTTTTATAGTCAATTAAGCTGTGAACCAAAGTAGTACAACCAAACGTCGAAATTTATTTTATATCCGTTTCTTCGGATTCTAGGATTATGAAAGCTAGAATTTCTTCATTTTATCCATTGTACCACCAAATATTGATCATTAGTGACGATGAATAACTTTTGAATTATAACAATCTAGTTAGGATGAAAAAATGGTTGCCGATGAGATCCTTAGTGCTTACAATTTGTAATTTCAATTGATGAAATAAAGACTTCTAATCTATCGTTGCATTCAAATGACCAGACCAATGGATAAGGGAATGACATGCATAACTAAAACCCAATAGACAAAGTTAATTAGCAAGAAATGTGAATGGCTTTTATACGAAAGTTTTAACCGTGCTTCAGT